GTCATTCCAATACACTGGCAGACCGAAATCTGCCACAAGGTCACACATAAACCTTGAAGAGTGGTTGCCCTATCAATGCCAGAGTGCGGCAACTAATTTCCACCAGCTCCTCAATGGTTTGACTGGATTTTAAAGTATGTTGCAGCTTGAGATAGTCCACTTATCTGACATTTGTTGATCATCAGCACTCCATATACGCCTTGAGTAGCCACTTCATTATTGTTTTTTTCAACCTGGTCCTTTTAACTCTCGCCTGCCTCGGCACATCTCTTTACAGCTTGTCTCAACTCTCCTATATCTCGCCTGAATCCCCGACACTGCACTCTACCTCCGATCAACCTTTCAGAAACACTGCTGGAAGAGGTTATACCGTCAACTAACCAAAATCGACCATTGGAAAAATTGCCCATCAACGAAGACCATCAATCAAGTACATTCGCGAACGTTCTTCCAGCTAATCTTTGTTAAGAGAAGGATTTTGCAACCTTTCGCTGAGGAAAAGAGCTGTTGTGAATTATGGAAAATCGCAACCGTCACCATAGTTCACGTTGGCTGGTTTACATGCCTACTTAACCCAGCGGACTACCTTCTGAGCCACTTGGTATTCTTCCTGATTTATGTCCTCATCTACCTCTACCTGTTTATTCAAACCCAACTAATCCTCTATATTAACACACGCACCCTCATGCTCACGCTTGTGAGCTATAATTACGTACGAACAAACAAGAGACACGAAAACAGTCATTTCATTGTAATGAATGTCTTTTTTCTCCATCTCCTCCTCTGAATACTTCAGGTCGTGTCGTGACGCAACGATGTCTACACTTGGCAAGCTTCATTAGTCTAAATCAAAATCATCGTCCTGTTTCCTCTGCTGCAAGACCCACAAAAAGGGTCATTATGTTAATCATTTTTTAATGTAACTCGAAAAAAAGCTACCCAGTTTTCACAGTAAAAGCTGTGTTGTCACTACTTGGTTTGGCACAGCTGTTGATCTCCCGATTTCATGCCTTTGAGGGCACATATTCTCTATTGCATGCGCCCGACAGCGAACTTGGTAACCCATTAAACGTCACGTTTCTAATTCCAATGCTTGAGTTTTTCCTAAGACAGACCTTTTCCTAGGTCAAATTACTACAAGTTATGGCTACAGCATGATGCAGAAGGCGACTCAAATTAAACACCTATTCTAGGTAGCATTGTGTTTGAGTTTTAATAAAAGATAGCAACCATGATGCTGAGATAACAAATCTGTACAATGAGACAGTTTTACAGTCTACTGAAGCAGTGATTGACACAATTTGGGACTATTCAAAAAACTTTGCTGTCAAAATATTTACTTTGCTCATTCATTAGTCGAGATCGATTGGTTTATTTTTAAATTCAAGTTGTTTTCCCAGTTGTCCCTAATTAAATCTCGAGGGAATCCAATGACTGGCCTTTACCTGAGTCCTAGCGTCCAAGACGCTTAAAGAATACATAATTGTCTAGTACATTCGATATGCCTTTACAACAGGAACATCTTTGATATGACTATTCATGCTACGTCTATCTGCGGCCAGAGAAAGACCATGAACCCCTAAAGACTTGAGTAGATTCCACCGATGGGATTTTAATGATGAGGGAACAATCGAAAACGGGACAATCTCTGGAGATAATTGTAACAAATGGGGTGATGGGGTGGCTTTATTTTGGGAACCCTATTTAATAGTATTTGAGAATAGTAAGTCCCTCATAATTTAACCCCCCCTTACTACCTGGTAAACGTCCACTAAAATTAGATTAATTCTTTTGTAAGCTTTCGCGGGTTTCATGGCGCACTATTTGGAAAGAGGATACGCAGAAGAATTTTCAACATGGAAGTTGACATTTTTCCACTAATGCGCTTGTCGTCCAGCCAAATTACTCAAATTATGAATGGGCTGCAATTGCGAGGCTAAACGACTAATACTTGTCAGGATCCTATATGACTAATGTTATTGTGCGTCAATTTTTGATGCCCTAACAAGAGAGTCGTACTCATGGCTAACATTGAGCCAGTCCCTCATCGAGTAAGCGATCCAGACAACGATTGTGGTGCATTCAAATTTTGTTGGTAGGTACATGCGATAGTTCATCCTATCGAAACTACCCTATCTCTCCATGTTGTCGAAGAAGAAGTGATGACTAGGTTGGATCAAGGCGGTGCTTCTACATTCACTACATGGGGATTACACATTTTGGTTTTTATTGCAGTTTAATTTTCAGCTTAAAGCTTCATTTTGAGAAAGTGGTGGTGAAATAAAGCAAAACTAGCAGCCTCAATGTCTGTGTTGGCGCAGAACCCTTAGAAAGGAATGTTCCTATGAACGTTCGCGTGCATTCTGTAATTTCACGCCCAATTTTTTTATTTTTCTCTATAGGGTCTCACGTAAAGACTTTATTATTTGACTTTTACGCCCGCGATTTTTTCGGTAACTCCAGTCACTAACTTCCGCAATAAGAGATTGCACTAATAAGACCAAATGGTGTGGTAAGGTGTGTATTGAGATTGTAATAATTACAACTTCCTTTTGTGACTCTATTCAGTGACAAAAGGAGTTTACTCGAAGAATTCTGTTTTTTCTAAATGTTGTTGGAGATGTTACAACTTAGAGGTCCCTGTAATTCTTGTAGTGGCCGCTTCAGAAAATGCACAAATAATATTACCTTAAAAGGATTTATGAGTAAACCTTCTGAAACTAATTTGACAACTATGGGTTATTCAGCTTACAAATCCGGTCCTCTCTATGCACTAAAAAATCCAAATTTGATAAACAATGATCCAATGATGGACAATCTTCAACTTGTAAAAAAACTGCGCTTTTAATTTGAAACCTGATCCCTAAAAGTTGCACAGAGGGCTTAATGAATTTGGCTTAACTCTTTTTAATGTCTTCATAATATCGAGACCTTAAATGTTAATTTCAACCAGAACCGGACCATTGATTGTAGCCAAGGCTACATAATAACAAATGTTTACTAAAATTATCAGTACTTAGTCTATACAGGAAAGCTCTTTTGTCACGAAAAGTTAAAAGTAAATATGCAAGCTTAATGAAAAACCTCGAAATTCGCAGTGACCGCTTTTAGTACCTCACTCATATTCTTATGAACACTTTGCAAATGTTGGATCTATCCAAATACTTGAATAATATTAAACAAAAGTGACAGAAAATTCCTAAATTCAGTGGCTCAGAGTAATTGCTGTGGAAATCTTCTTTATATCTGATCTGTTCAGAGACCAGATCGTGGTATCATTTGCATTATTTTCTTGAGTGGCTTCCGATGAGAGTAAAAGGACTTACGGAAATTCGCAACTTATTGATCACGTGTCCTATAAATTCCGCAGGACTGTACTATGGTCTACATTGCATATGTTAGTAAGAATTCCCAACTTAACTGACTTATTGAGTGTGCATAAATGTGATTGCGAATTTTACTAACAGACTAGTTCATATCGTGGGATGTCTTGAATTTACGCTAGCTAGTGATTACCAATGGAAATATGAGTGGGTGCTATTGAACTGCAGAATGAAAGAAAGTGGCTCACTGTGGCTTCGGGCGTCATTTAATTACCGAGAGCGGAATTTCATTTTATTCAGTAGTATTAGGGCAGATTGGACTGTGCTATATGAATAACTATCGATTAATCCGATTTAATTGCAAGAGTATTCTCCGATTTCGTGAAGAGAACAGCTCGATGTTTCCGCTTATTGACTAAAAATCTACTCTAAACTTTATCAGTAGGAAGGTAATACTTGCCCTACATTGGTTAAAGAATCGATGCATTTTAACACCTAACAGTGCTTATTGTATGACGAATTTCCTCCTCAAGACATTCTGTGCTGCCTTTGTTGACTGACCGCACGTGATCATTGTGAATTGAAGAGTAGCAGCGTGGGAGTATAAAAACACTTTGACACACAAACTTCAGGCAGAAACTCATGGAGTTTCGTTGTGAAGTTGTTTTTCATGATTTCGCTCAATCTTTTAGTAATCCAGTAATACTTTATTCATTTGAAACCTATGTAGCGTAAGTATATATAGACTTCCTTTCACCTTCGAGTGAGCACTACTAAATCTGGATGAATGTAGCCATGATCTCTTACAAAAATTGCGTTCTCCCAATTACTAACTCAAATTTTCGCATAGTATCACATGGTAAGCATTATTTGCCGCTGACGCTTAGCTCTCAGACTTAAATCTCTTCAATATGAGCGACAACAAATTACTGGCAGAGAAAACTAGGAAATGTCAACGTGGTACCTGTTAAGATTGTTTGAAAGTGGAACTTCTCTTTGGTGTTTTTCATAATTATTAGCTTCGTACAAAGAAGCTCATAAGTGTGGCCTCTTTAGGCGAATAAGCGCAGATTAGGCTGCTACGTTGCTGAATCCAGAGGAATGTCTTAACAGCGGAAAATCTTTAATGCTTAACTATGAGGTGGTTGCGTCATGGACATTCTAATCACTCTGGTTGAACACTCCCTGTGAAACGGATTAAGGCAGGCAAATAAGGAATTTCAGACAATATAACGCGACGCCTGTCGCGCCAAAATCGAGTCATTAAAAAACAATTTATCAGCCAAAGTTGGCGATTCGATAGATTAGAAATTTCGGTTTCTACATCATATGTCAAGTTTTGATTTAACTATTCAGAAACATTAAAGCACATTCAATATCTACTTTTACACTTAAATCTCTTTTTTAGTAAAATCGAATTAATTCTTAGCACATTAAAGCTTGTTACTCGAAGGCTTTATTGAACTATCCCAGTTACTCCTCTCCTTCAATATTTCAATGCGTCCGGGTTTTATACGTTCCAAAGTGACCCTGTTGAACTCGCTCAAGAAGATTTGCAATAACTTTACAATCAATAAAGCAAAAGCCAACTCGTTTCAGTCGATAAAAGCGGACGAAATTGTTTGCGCTTAGTTGAGACTGAAAATCTCACCTTTTTCAGTTTGCTATTGTCAATTATTAGTCAACCTGATGGTTTTGATAACTACTCGGAAAGTCATAGAGATAGTGTTGGTGGCCTTCAGTCTGGGCCACCGCTTGGAGGTGTTGGATGTAAGCGATGGCGAAACGAAGTGTGCGAAGTTTCGACAACTTGGTATCACGCGGGACCGAGGGCAGAGAGGCACGGAGGCGGGCGAATGCAAGGTTCAGGGCCTCGGTGCGACGTCTGTCCTGTTCGCGCTGATTAGCCTTCCTTCGTTTGTTTTCCTCGCTTTCATTCCGTCGAACTATAGTTGGATCTACTTTAGTCTAAATACAAAAAATAAAAACCGTTTGATAACTGCCTACTACTTCCTGATGCCCACAACGCAATCACGCTTAGTTTTGCAACCCAACAGATGTCTACAAATCTATTCAAAACAAAAGCTATTGATTCTTCATTATAGAAAAAAGATTAGGAACTGAAAGTTAAATCTTAAAACCTGAATACTGAAGTCCTTTTCATCTCAGTCAAATTGTAGAGGCAAACCAAGTGTATTCACAACTCCATAAACGCACATAACATCAAAAGCCTCTAGTGATAAGATTCACTTAGGTTGATTTTTTCGAGAGTATTTAAAGTGACAACTCATTAGCCCAGGGCTCTAAGTTGAATACATTAATTAAACCTACTTATTTGAAAAATTGCATTTATATATGGCGGAAAGGACTGCATCATTCTAGGGAAGGGAATGATTGAGCTGTCTGCAAGGAAACTGACAAACCATCCATGAAAATATGGAGAAAAAAGTCCTCCTCGAACACCAGACTTTTTAATAAACATCTCAGTTAACGGCACCGGTCGTTAATATACAAGACAATAATTTACGAACTAATTGTACGTGAATTCATCAATTCTGCTCTGCTTTGTGCACAAACAGCGAGTGTGCTCACAGCAGCATGAATAAACTATTGAATGCACTCAAATGTAGGTCCTGTTACGAATAAAGTATGATCCGCTGAGCTTTTACTTAACATGTCTCTCATTATGACAATCTGTATTCCGAGTTGTTCATTGCCCATTATGCTTAAGAAAATCCATGGTTATCACCAGCACTGCTGGTAACTATGCTAAGACGCATGTAAGGCTGTAATCTAAGAAAAACTTTTTTCCTGAATTAAGATCTGAACAAACACAAATTTCAATACAAAATAAAATGGTGTTGCAACGAAGTTAGGTAGCCAATGAGTGAACTGAGTTTAACAACCCTGGTATAGTGTTTGGTGCAAAAACATTCCACTTAAATTCATAAAATGATTTTATTTGAAGGAATTAAAATAACCTTTACACGAGTTCTTAGCTACTTAATAGTCAGTTGTAAACCGTAGGAAATGGCTTTAATTATGTAATCTGGGTAAAAATTAGGTCTGAAAGTACGAAGTATACTGAAAATTACACAAGGCCTTTGTAGTGAATGTAAAGGAAGGTAATTTTTACCGTGCGAATAATTTGAGGCCCAGTCGTGCTACGCTAGCTTCTTCCCAAATAAACTCACTCGAATGCATAAGCCTCCAAGAGTTATACGCTCAATCCACTGCTTGTTTTCTTCCCAGGAGCTTCATAAACTTGAAGACAGCGGTATTGTAATGGTGAGTCAGTGTCATTTTTAATAATGCTGAAAATCATGTCTCATGTGTGTTTCCGCACTGCACAACAAACCACCAAGGAGCTTCAGGACACAGGTCAAACACCGGTACCATGTGGTCTAAATAGAAGGACCACCCCTACTTATAGCAAATTTTGCCACCAGGGCCTCCAAAACTAAAACGGCAAGACAAACCTGAAATGAAGTACTTCCCTCAGTTCTTGCTTGCTCATTCCCCGACAGGTCGGAGTTGGAAGTTGTGTCGTTCGGTGTAAGTGATGCTGTTTTATCTCGCACCCCCAACGTCGGTAACCTCTCCTGATCCCAAGCAATTCCCTCCAGCCACCCTGTGTGCGCATTTGCCTGCACGCGAAAATACTGCTGCCGCCAGACTGTCAGCTGATGGGAGCTGCACTCCATAATTTGTGTGGTCATTCCCACCTTGTACCCCTACACCGATCACAAGGTATGGTCCACCAATCACAAATGTGAGGGGAGGAGGGCCCCTGGCTGTCTCGAGCACGAGAGGCATTAGCACGCCTGTTTAGAAGGGGAGCAGTGAATTCCGCACCTGGCGAATGAATGAAAAAAGGGGGGAGGTGGTTTGAACACGACAGCGTATTGACGCCTCGGGGAGTGGGCATGATGAGTTAAACACCATATTAAGGGGGAAGATTCCAAAGTCTCAGCCTGTGACTTATGGCAAGTGAAATAAACCACATTGGTTTAAAGAATCGGAACAAATGAAGTAGTTACGGTCGCAGACGTCGCTAAAGGTAAACAATCACCAAGTGAGATGAACACCGGAACGTTGATTTAAAAAAAACGCTGTCGTATTCAAAATCGACCGGTCTGATGAACTATCCACACAGTTTTCTGCATTAAACATTTTGCAGAGTCAAATTACGAAAAGCACATGGGGGCAAAATATTTAGTAGTTTGGTGTTTCTGGCGTAGTGACTATTATCAGGCAAAACTTCCATTTCTGAAAAAAACGCCTTACACAACTGTCAAGTGAATTTAGTGAGATTTTTCAATGACTAGGAAGATGCATGGATTTACCACTGTCTATAAGTGCAACCACGTGAATGCGAAATGACGTAGTGCGAAATACAACCTTCACTTGACAAAGCCATTAACTTATCCATGACTTATGACTGCCTGTTGCTGCCGTAACTATTATTCAAGATGAAGTAGGTGTACAAATAAAAAGTAAAATAAACTTCATCGAATCTAATTTCCTTTTTGCCCATTGTCTAAATCAGTACTCGATGATCAAGCCCATACTATGTTATGCTCGATAAACTTGGTGTTCTGTCTTTTGGTGTCATTTATTTCTGTGGTAGCAGTAGCCTAATAGCCTTAAATCCGCCCTTTCCCTAAACCTCCTCACTGACAAGGCATGCGAAGGCGTATTCCCAGTTTCGTTGCCACTGGCATCCCTGCTCAAATTCGTCGATTTCTAAGGGTTATTTATTTTTGAAAAAATCTTCGTGGCATTATTGCATGTTTTATTCTTCTCTATTTGGTAAGGGTGGATGATTGTGTGCTCCAGATTATTCTTATTCGGGCTGCATCCAGAGCTACCTCAAAAGTGGTCTCCGAACCACAATTTCAACATGCAACCTTTTTAGTTTTATAAGTTGCTAAACCAAGTCGAGCAAAAGGTTAAAACCCAAATGAACTGTGCACATTCCAGTTGTCAATTTTTGTACACTTTTTTGACGTACTCGCGACCACGTTTTCCTGGTGACGGTTTCAGCTTACTCGTCTCAATTTGATAATTAAAAGCAATCATTTTTAAACCCACTGTATCACGTAATTCGATCACAGAAAAGGCCTTAGGTATACTCGTCTGTAAAGTACACGAAACACAAAAACAAAAATAAAAAACATGTTTTGGGGACGTCTGGTTCACGGCAAAGCGCTTTTATACAGACTGAACCGGCCAAGCTCCATATTTAACATTGCAGCATACTTAAACCAACTAGAAATGCAGACACATTCCAAAGTAGCCTCTTTCCCGGGCTGCTAGACCCTGTGCTCTCTTAAAGTCAGCTGTTCACCTAGGAACACTTTCTTCTAGTTCAAGAAAGAAAGTACACTGTACTTTAATGCAGTAAGAGAAAGTTTCTAGCAGGCTCGTTCACTAAAGAGGGCAAGTCAGGTCAAATGGTAAAGTGATTATGGAAAACATGGGAAAGTCTGAGGGGGCATGCTGTGTGGGTCGTCATGATAAAATTGATACACAAGTAATGTTCATTTTTTTAAATAAGAAAAGTTTAAGATGGTATCTATGAGCATTTTCGTCTCCTGTTATGGTACCTAATTTTGCATTAACTAATTTATAACAATCTTAACCAAGGTTTTCTTATGAATATTTTCTTAATTAGGGGTTTCTGTATTTTGAATAAAACCTTTAAAACAGAAACTTCTTTTTCATCAACCTGAGAATCGAGGCGCCAAGGCATCATCTATCTTAAGGCCACGAATAGAGGGGTATAGGATTTAGGTGTCTCTGAGGCGTCCGGTACTTTTTGTTAACTAAAGTAACGCACCTTTAGGACTCGGTGTAAGAAGTTTTGCAAAGTGGTCAGAGGGAAGCCAATGCGGAATAGTTCATAATTAAAGTTTTTGCTGAGGTGATTAATGTGGCTACATGCAAAACATTGAGCAACGCAAAAACCGTAGAAGTGACAACTGTCTGCAGAGAAGAGAAAAGTCTGTGTTATGATGCGGTTCACACCAAGATTCTGTCAAATGCAAATTGAATCTGATAGGACCTCTTTGAGATAAATTTTCCAGAGTTCGTATTTTGAGATTGAACCGACCAGTCACTTTCGCGAGCCAAAGTGTGTAATAGGCCGGGGCTAACTTCCAAAGCACTGAATCCACCAAGAATCATTTTATTCATAAAAAACTGTAAATAATAATTTACAAAACCAGAATAGGTTTTATCCTTGCAACATTTATTTCCATAATTAATTCCTCACCTGATAAAACGATGAAAATCTTCTGAGTTGGTTTAAACTTGAAGCCAATTGATCATGCACGTTCTGCCAAATATTAAATTGATATTACTGTGAAAAATAAGGATTTCGAATAAAACTAACTTCTTGACTTTTGGCTGTCATAAACTCTGCCTAGCTAAAACTTAACACTCTGACACCACATTCCGCACGTGAGCTTCTCCCGAAGGCAATTACGGCGAAATTGTCGCCAAAGAAAAGGACCCTAAGCTTTTATTGCTGCTTTCTTCATTTTATGCGAACACTGCCTTAGGAATGCACCTATTTAGATCTGAGCTCCAACCAAAGAAATACGCCTGGCAAAAATGCTTTTGGCTGGAGCACAGAGAAAAAATAACTAGATTTATGTAGAATCCCTTGGAGTTAATTTCGCTGTACAAAAGAAAGAAAAAAAAATAAGCAGCTATTGTGTCGAATCCCAACAATGGAAACCAAGCATTCTAGTAGCAAGTCAGAAAAAGTCTGCAATGTGGTCTAACATTACTCCTTCCCTTAACAATGGTACCTTGAAAATGTTTGCAGTTTGTCTACAAAGAAGTCAAAATGTCAGTTCACCACCACCACCACCAATTATTTCGCTCTTTCTCTAAAAACTTGAGGAAAGGTCTCAGAGTAGCAGACTTTTCACGAGGTCATCAAGTAGAAGAGTATTACACGTTAAGATAAAAAGTCAATCTCAGATTGCAAAATCCGGGGCAAATAACATTAAAAAGAAGGCAGCCTCGGTCTCAAAATGGCTTATTTGGTCTAATATTTTGTAGGTTTACGAATTTGCGATTCAGAAGGCAAATTTCCAAATTCAAAGGTAATTATTGAATTATGCTTATCATCTTTTCAGTACGAATGACATTTATCCTGTTAAATACCCGAATAAAAAATCAGTAATGCGATTTTTGGTGGCTAGAATATAACATTTGATACCATCAGAGTGAAGGCAGGATTTCTCAGAGGCACAGGAACTGGATGTGGTCTGATGGGCCAAAGCTGGAACCACCAGTGGCAATTGGCGACTTGACGAGGGGTCTCGTACGGTATACCTTCATAACGCACCTGCACCTGGAATTAATCCCGCTGCCGCTAATGGAAGTAATAGCGTAATAAGAGAACAGACTTCAATCCCATGTTTTCACCCCTTCATAAATTCACACCTGGATCTTTAAGATAGTCTATGCACCACTGTCCTTCCCCCTGCCCCAAACACATCATAGTGCCATCCATAACAGGGGACATCGGTTTATAGTGCGCCAATCAGAGTGACACAAGGATGGAGGCCTTTAATGGTCTACAAGACGCAGCTATTAACGCAGATTCTAAGCCGGAGTGGGGGTTGTGTGTGGACATTCAAGGGGGATATTGGAGGACAGACATCCGAGTCTCTCCCAGAGGATTAAATTATGTGGCACCTGATATTAGGTTGGAGTCAATGACTAAGCATACTTAAGGTTCCAGTTTTTCTTCAGCCATCACCCCTCGTCGAAAATCTCCAGATTTACCAGATAGGAATTTCACTAAAATAGTTTTATCTCCTATAAAATTGGGGTGCTAGGATTCGTCGCATCAATGTTTTTTAGCAGACAAGCTGTTTAAGATGTAACAGTCAGTCACTCCCGTGAAATTTCAAATTGCCTAAAATAAACGTGGAGCGATTGGCTCAATACCGATAAAAACTTTTGACTGAACAAATTTCTAGTGACAGAGACATGACAGACGTAAGTTGCCAACATCATATTATCTAAAACGGATGAATTGCAAGAGGACCAATGGTGTACGCCCATCAGAACAAAATCCGGGGATTTTGTTGACTGTCATTTGCAAGCCCTCTGCGCTCACAAGTTACTCCACTTCTTTTAGGCATTTTTTTATGAGTGAACATCATTTCACAATATTAAGGGGTATGAATGACCGTTGATTAGATGCTTTTGCTCAACCGTGAATTCAAGCAAGCGCTGCAGCCTTCGACGATGCCAAAACTATTATTTACGGGCCTCTGTAATTATCCAAGTATTGTTACCGTGGGCCAGCCGCTTAATTAAATTTAAAACAATTCAACCTCCTTTTGTAAGTAGAGCACGAAGACAGTTTACAAAAGGACAAGACGATTCCACTCCACTCGTAACTTCATTTTGGCAAATTTAAGAAAGTTTCTTTATAAGGTAATTCCCCAAGTAACTCAAGAGATTAGGTCCCAGGGCAAATGTGTAAAACATGAGGCTCCCGAAGTAAATAGAACAGGTGCTAATATTTTGAATTGCCATTCCAATGTAATGCTCCAAGGCTGCATTATACATCGATAAGGTCGTCTGCCTATGAACGCTTTCATTCAAATAGCGAAATGTGACTTTGATTTGGAGACCCACATCCCCTGGCGCCATGGACCGCCTTTCCCAACCAGCGTAGCTAACCAGATTTGGAAGTACTTTTGTCATCCAAGAACGCATCAAACTATAACGGCAAATTGCCTAAAGTGGCATGATGCACCACATAGCAGTTGCTACTCCTTACGATTTGCACCTGGTCATTATAGTAAGATATTTCGTTTCCCAATCCCCTTGACCCTCGTTCAGCACTAAGTAGTTTTAGCTTGGAAAATTATTAGCACAAGGCTTTGAAAAGTTATTCTTAGGTTTGGCAGGCTGTGTTGAAAAGAATTCCATGGCCCACAGTCACTTATCAGGATATGTGGTCCCACAGCCCATTCATAATCTCAGCCGATTGGTGATTCGAAAACTAGCTTGAATATGCCGTAAGAGGGTCCACTAACAACCAAGTAGTTTCAAGATATTGCAGAGGTTATTTCAAACCTTCCCTTAAAATAACGCGCTATGGCCATTTTTAAACAAACAGCCACGATTGCAGACAGCTAGCATCAATGCAGTCATCCTTTACCAACCCAAGCGCTGCTATTCGCCCAAGCTCCTAGTGACAGTGGTTACTCGTTTGCATTGCACGTTTTGCGTGTGCCAACCGCGCAGACCGAATTTCCCTTGGCAACGCTCATGCTTTCAAATCTATAATGCTTTGTTAGGACCTCGTTTAGTAAAATATTTTTACATGGGCACCGTTTGAACCACCAAACAAAATCAGGTTATTACAAGATTCAAAAAATTGCCAAGCGAAATCACGTTCCTCAAAGAAATGAATGCGACATCCTACTACAATCAAAGGAACTTCGATAACTCCACCAAGGCAAGACTTGGTAAATAGCACATTCTAATCAATAATGTATTCTCTAGCAATTAGGAATGAAATAATTTGAAATATTCTGGAAATGTTATTGTTCGTCCCAAATCTCAATAGCCAGTTCGCAATAGAGCCAAATGCTCCCAACAGTCTTTGGGAATGGTAGATGCTTTTGCGTTAATACGTAAGCGAATCCAATGTATGAAGTAGATGCTATTCACACATGAAAGCGTCAACTTTTGCGAACCAAGGACAAAAGTCGCTGGAAGTAATCACGAGAACAATACAGATGTTCGTCCAACGGAAAAATGCGAATGATGACTTCCCAACTTGCCAAAAGTCCTCAGGATGTGTTAATGTATGCGCCTCTTTTACTAACTAGGGTACCTTTCGCGTTTGTCTTGGTTCTGTTAAGACGCTATCAAAATCCGATGGTAAAAATAGATCAAACGAGATGCAGATTTATGGGAGTTTTTGCTACTCAACTGCGGCTCAAAAAATATTTCGGACATAAACTATAGAATTACGGCAAGTTGAATGTGAATGCTGTCATTGTCTGCTCGAAGCAACCAAAACATTTACTGTAGCATTGTCACACACACACACACACTTCTGCAATACTTCCACCGAGGTTGTTACGATGCGCCGACTACCCACCTGACTGCTCCATAATAAGACTAAATTTTACATAAACGGATTTCGAAGCAAACTTCGCTTGAAAATAGGAATTTAGACTGACGTAAAAGAAACCATTTAACATTTAAGATAAAATCTTCTTTAAGTGGAAATATGACAAACGAAACCAAATGTTGTGTTCTAAACTAATCAAACGCAATCTGCAGTTCAAATTAGTTGACTTTCTCGAAGTATTCCTTCGCTCCCTCAACATTGGGCTTCATCGAAGGAGAGTCAGGAGTCCAGTTTGCAGGGCAGACTACAACAAAAAACAGCATACCGAAGGCATTGGGTTAGGATAATACATATATTTAACCTACAATGATAACGTGGAATTGGTTCGAACAACTGGAAGCTTGAAAAAGATGACTTAGGTGTGACTTCAACATACATTAAAAACCATTTTCAGATGTAGTCGGAGACAGAATATTGATGACCTGGAGACGGCAATAAAAAGTGTGCGATGTGACTGATTTAGGTGACTTTCCGGAGCGAGGCGATAAAAAATCACCGGTAACACTGATGCCGACCCACACCCGAGTCTACCAACTCTGCCACAACTGCGCATTCGAAACAAGAAACACGGGAGCTCACGCATTCAGGTATCTCTTTTGGGGGAGGAACAGAGAAGATGCACAATAACACCCTAACAGAAAACCGGGTTCAGCGAAATACCACAATGAGTGACTGCTTTGGTGTTATACAATCATTCACATGACCCTCTCCGTAAGAATTAAGAGAAAATTTTCACTTGAGGGAAACACTGACACCAAAGCAAGGAAGATCGAAAGCTTATCTCGGAAGAGAACGACGCGAACAAACGTCCATGTCCTGTGAGTACCAAAACGATTCCATTTACGGCCATAGCTTACTCACAAATTATTCGAATACTTAAAAGTGGAAGAGACGGTGTACGCATTACTAGCACGAATGTACTGGATCTAAGTGACGCATTTGGTGGATTCTAAATCGTACAGCAGACGATATAGTGTCGGGTGTCGGAAAACAATGAAAATCTAACGGTTCGGAACCACGGCCTTGTGGACGCTTCAACAAGGACTGAGTTTGAAGCGTCCATAAGGTTCATGTAGACAAAAAACAAAAGTGGCAATTGCCCAGTGATCAAATACACCTAGCCTTCTGGACCAATCTCATTTACTATCAATGACTACATTTTTTAAATACTGATTGGGACGCCACTTTGATACCTGAGAATAATTGAAACCAACAGTTGACGGCTTTGTGGTAAAATCTACTTAGTGAAAGAGAAGTGCATAAGTCGAATTTTTTGTCACCTAAGGAGTCAGTTCTTTAAGGCAATTGTCAAAGCCTTATGATCTATACGGAAAAAAATATTTGTAGATATACGAATGCAGTAAAACCGAAATAGTGAGGTAAAAAATGCAATAAAACAAGATTTAGTTATTGAAAATAAGTACAGTAAACAGGAAGGGCAGTTACTTTCAGAACCCATCTTACCTTCGCCATGCTTATCAACGAACTGGAAAGCCTTGACGAGACGAAGAGTTTCATCCACAGAACGACCAACGGGAAGGTCATTAATCGTAATGTTGCGAATGGTGCCATTCGAGTCAATGATAAAAAGTCCACGGAGGGCCACACCTGGTCCTTCCAGAAGAACGTCGTAGTCCCTCGACATCTGCTTGTTGTAGTCAGCCAAAAGAGGATAGGTTAGACCGCCTAAACCACCTGCCTTAAAAAAAATAGAAAACAACACTTTGGGCCTTGTCACAGACAAAATAGGAAGTGCGATGCACAAACGCAGATACATTGCAGTTAACTCTTCCTAGATGAGTGGCTTCCAATTAAGCTAGAGAAAACGGCAAACATATGTAAACATCGTACTAGGGCATTAAACAGTGAAGACCCGAGCAACACGACGCTAAACCTGAGACACATACAAATGTAAATAATTAGGTACTTTTCGGGGCATGTTGATCCACGACAAATGACTAAAGTGTGAGTCCGTAGAAACTCCAATGACGTTACAATTGATTTCCTGAAATTCCTTTATGCGGTTAGAGAAGGCGATTAGTTCGGTTGGACAAACGAATGTGAAGTCCAGTGGGTAAAATAAAACGACGAGATATTTTCCAAGAAAGTCCTCCAGTTGTATTTCTTTGAATTGTCCATTTACCACGGCAGTTCCAGAGAAAGCAGGAGCTTTCTGAGTGACTTTGACCGCAAAGGAGCGTGACGGGGAAAACAGCTCAGTTGATGGAAGAGCACGGACAAAAAGGGAGGAAATTTTGGGACGAAGACGGGAAAAAAGACGGTTCATCATTCTGAAGTTGTAAACAAGTTAATTAGAGTAACCAATTAGCTAGATAGCGAAATTTCACACTGGATTAATAAATACCCTCTCTAATTGCATGCGCCAAAATAATTTGCTGATCAAATCAAGAGCGCCGCTACAATTACAGAGCATCAATTTCGAGGTCTTGACGATTTCTGGAAACCCTAATAAGTGGAGACTCCTTAATTTAACTCTAAGGCATTGATCTAATTTGTGATTGGTAAGTGTCACGAACATTTGTTTAATTTTCCAGGAACAGATGAAACAAAAGAATAAAACGAAACACGACGCGGTTACAAAAAACACCAAAAATCGGGAAGAAAAAAGGAATTCTAGATAAGTCGATGTAAGTATGGTGAGGCACATCTATGTCATTTAATACCAAGCGATCTATTTAAACACAAACCAAAAGGCGTCTAACTTCATATCAGGGCAAATACACGTGCTGCTGAAGTATGGTGTG